ATGTGTGAAAAAATACCCATTTGAGGAATCAGTTCACGGTTGAATAATGGGTATATTTTTTACCCACTAAGAGCAACCGTAACGGTCGTTGTCATTTGCGCGACTATTTTAACAGCGCACAGCGCTCTCATTTTAGTTTAGTCACCTTTCTCCCGCGCTGCTAAATTTGGTAGCGCGCTTCTCACCGAGAAGCCGACTGCTATTTTAGTTACTCGTATGGCAACCCCCGATACGGTAGCTGCGCTATGATGAGGGCTGCTAAAATGAGTTTAGCAGCGTACCGTTACGGTTGCTCTAATGGGTGAAAAAACACTTCGAAATTTCATCGTCTCATTTCCGTCACCGAAAGCGAAAATAGACGATCTCCGGAAAATGTTAGAATCTGAAACGTTGGAGAGGCTTACAGATAAGTCAATACAAATTATCCAATATGGTATTATAATATTTCGTGTAAAATTTTTTCACCCATTTTACGATAAACACAATTTAGGATAATGGGTGAAAAAACACCCATTTATTGACAGACCACCCATTTACCCATTTATGAGTAAACCATAGTTTACCCATTAAATGAGGAGGGGCACGTTTAGCGGAAATGGGTATTTTTATACCCATTAATGGGTTTTCGCGAAACACCGTGTAGGAAGTATTTTTCAACGCCGCACAGTGGGGCAGCGAAGCCATTCGCGTGGCCAAAACCTCTAGCACCGTTGGTTTGCTTTCTACAGCGATACAATGTTCTACAAAGTTGCTCAATATTAAAAGCGCCATCTTTTGAAAGTTTCATATTAGTTCATTTTACGCCACATAGGTGGCACTCGAGTCTATCTTTTGGTTGTTCCGGCAAAGTTGTGTAACTTGAAGTTTTGAGAAATGTTGTCGAAGGCATCAAAACTCTGTGACTCACATTAAGCAAGATATCGGGCAATTAGTAAAACTAACCTCTAAAATTGCGTTTTTCCTTTTTTTCACCTATACACGTCAAATGTATAAGTTTTATTCTCTGCTAATTATCAAAATGGTTTGACTCATCAAATAAATACCCATTATTTCATATATCATGCTTTATTATAAAGTTATTAACATTTATATGTCTCAAAAAAATGATGCATGCAAATGTCAATTTCTCACAAGTAGCAGCCAATTTGTTAACAGTGATTAGTGTAGACCTTGTTGGGTAAAATAACGAATACAACTGCAAGCATTTTCATATAACATCATTTGAATATTGCATATGGTAAATACTTTAAAATTTGATGAAATTTTGCTTTGTGTGTAAAACATGATAAGATGTTTCGATGTCTTGGACAACATTTCGCAACACTTCAAATTACACAACTCTGCCGGAACAACCATTCGGCTTGGATGCTTCGTTCAAAAGATAGACTCGAACGCCACCTATGGGGCGTAAAAATGAACTAATATGAAACTTTCAAACGATAGCGCTTTTAATATTGAGCAACTTTGTAGAACATTGTATCGCTGTATAAAGCAAACCAACGGCGCTAGAGGTTTTGGCCACGCGAATGGCTTCGCTGCTCCACTGTGCGCCGGTGAAAGCAAACGCAAACGGAAGTAGCCGAAGCTGAAAGATGACGATGAGTGATGACACCGCTTCGTGTTTTGATTTGCGCTGTTCCGTCCGCTCAGTTGTGTGGGTTCGTACATGAATAAATCTAGATAGAGCTGGAATTAGGGCGTAACAGCTTTTGTAAACAATGACTTCTATCGATGATTTCTAGGAATTCAAGGCACGTCCACGCAGACCAACCTAACCATCGGATAGGGGAAGTCTTTCCATACCCGATGAGGATGTTGGTTTGCGTGGGCGAGCCTTGAATTTCTAGAAATCATCAAGAGAAGTCATTGTTTACTAAATCTGTTAGGCCCTGATTCCAGCTCTATCTAGAAATGTTGATGTGCGTGTTTTCTTCCAACGCTGCAGTTCAACGTTGTCTCGTCACAAACCGTTTGGCGCTGTTACCTGTATCTATAAATTTCAAAAAGTGAAGGGAGTCGGTCTAAGCCCAGAGTGCCATTTAATTCACAACATGACCGACGATATATGAAACCCGGGTGAAAAGTTATTTGAATAAAATTGTGTCCCCGATAGCAGCTAACAATGATTTCCAAACCGGATAAATCATACGTTCAATTTTAATATACTTTTTACTTTTCCATACCGTTACGCCCGAGTTCTATCTAATACAATTTTCTACAATAGTGCCTGGGATAGATCTTAATATCGTTTTTTTTTCAAAACGTTATTTTCGTTCTCAAGAACCTACGATAAGAACTGATTTTCTTTGATTTTTGACAATTTTTCCCAATATTTTTAGAAATATAATAAAGTGTAATTTTTTTTGGTCCGGTAAACTTCTCCTAACGCAAAGTTTGTTGACCCGAAATTATATTTTTGTGAGACGTTATGATTTTTCTAAAAATATATCAAATTCAAGAAATTCAGATAGGTACTTAAGATTTTTTTTAAATTCATCATTTTAAAAAGTTGAGTAAAAAACAAAATCATAAGGTCTGGATCTGTAGGTAAAATCTCCTCTCGTATAATTTTGAGCTACAGTTGAAGTATACATCAAAATTGTTTACAAACTTGCTGATTGATGCGATATTGCTCTTAAATTTACATGAAATATCATGTAAATTTACACTATTCGCAGAAATTATCTTGTTTTTAACGGTGTTGATATTGCGGTCTTTTATACCCAACTTATTTTTTTTTTTTAATTAAAACAAAATGACTGCACCCAAATTTTCTTAAAATTACTTTAAAACTGATTCCCTTGGATTTTTTTTTAAAATATTATTTTGTTATTAAAAAGACAATAGTTAATTTTTTGAAAAGCAAAGCTTTGCGTTAAATGTCTTCATATGCTCGGTTTCTGAAGAAAAAAAAACTTATAGAAAATATCCATAAAAATCCTCATGTGGTTAATATCAACACCGTTAAAAAAAGCAAGATAATATCTGCGAATAGCGTAAATTTACATGATATTTCATGTTAATTTAAGAGCAATATCGCATCAATCAGCAAGTTTGTAAACAATTTTGATGTTTACTTCAACTGTAGCTCATAATTATATGAGAGGAGATTTTACCTACAGTTAAAAATAAGAATTTTTATTTGTGAATAGAGAAAAATCTGTTTTTTTTATTAATAGAAAAAACTTCGGCCAATTAATTTATTTATTTATTTCGTCAAGCAAAGTAGACTACATACAATGTTTCGGCCCAATGTCTTTACTACGACCTAACTTACTTCAGACTATCGTAGTTGGGCCTAACGTATTTCAGTCTTTCGAACTTTGGCCTAACATACTTCGGCCGAATGACCTGACACCATAAACACTTACAATTATCCACAAGATACCTAGAATAATTTGGAACCAAAGTTGGCTGCGTATGATTTCAAAATTCAGAAAAACATTTTTTTATAGCAAGTGAGTGGAAGTAACCCTGTTAACAACATTTACAAAATTATCGAATTTTCAAAAATAATAATTAAATATTTATAATTTTTGTAAGTTCAAGAATTTGCCATAGAGTCTAATTCGCTCACAAGATGAACAATGGCGTATTCATAGGATGCAAGGGATAACGATTGCTCTTCTTCCTCTGTTCTCTCTGACTATGCTTTTGTACAACTTGTAAGCGAACTTGTTAAAAAATTGCGTTGTTTATGATAAATATTAGCTCGCTTTAAATATTTATATGCTCATGCATAGCCATGTATTAGAGTACAGTCGAATGTGCAGGAAGGCAGTTTCCACACCTGCGTAGGATATCGCACCCATTCAAACACACATGGGCCGGGACCAACGGCTTTGCCTCCCTTTCGATGGAAGACGGGACCAGAGATGTGTATGCCTCAGAAAAATCTCACCGACCTCGGCTGGGATTTACTTTTAATGGTTGTGAAAGCAAAATTTTATTACCATTTATGAGCAGCTTCATACTAAGATAATGTTGAGTTTGGGGTTGTTCATAAACCACGTGGACACTTTAGGGGGAGGTTTGGTGAGTGTCTACGGTCCATAGAAATTTAAAAAAATATGAACGATGGTCTACCTCATTGTCTGCGGGTCTAAAACCTGGCTCTGACTCTGTGAAGTAAATCATTTCCAGTTGTAGTTTTACAATCTTTCTGATAATAGCCCAAGTAACGTTGCAAGTCTTATCGTGGTCTTAAAACATTCTACAAATCTACATCTGGTCTAAAAAAATTCTACAAATCTAGAACCCTCAGAAGACCCAAATAGCTACTTTGGAGAGTTTCCTCCATGATTCAACCCTGTTGTTTGGAAGCTTCATACAAACATTCTTCGATTCCGTATAAAGCTGATATGTAGCCAATAGCATTATAAAGAGGGTAGCAAATTGTTTTCTTCTGCGGAAGGGATACAAGGGATACAAATTACAGCATGACGGCCCTTGACTGACTATTAATAGGAAGCAGTTCTTCCTTTTATTTTCCTCGGATAATGTCTTTTTCTTCGAGCATCTTTGTTTTCGCCTAAGTTTACCAACACTACGCCGAAACGATAAGGCTTCCGGTAGCATTGAAAAAGGAGGAAGTGAGAATGGGTGGTAGGCCTGGCAAATAACAATCACTGCTTTTCAAGTAACTCGCTCTGATGCGTTCCAAGCGGCATTTACTTCCATCCCCTTTTGTGTCTGCCAAGTAGAAAATCGTGCGACTAATATCCCTGAGGGAATAGGTATTAAGATCTATTATAACAATATTCAGTCACCACCACCGCCAACCATCGGCAACAAACGTCAGGGGGAAAGCCGCAAAATGTGAAGTGAAGGGATGTGATGCTTGGCCTCTTGACTACTTTGAGTGGTTTATTTTGTAGAATCTTTGCGCTTAATTACTCCGCCCTTCGGGGTGTTGAGTTGTATATACTGTTGAATTTTGACGTACGTACCTACCCAATTTATAATGTTTTTTCTTCTTTATCTCTACTTCTTATAGGTTAGGATTTATGTCACAATGGAGCGCGATAGCAAATCGTTATGCGGCGCTTTGCCCTCCCGGATGGCCTTGGCCCCCAGCCGCCCATCGGATGCCGTTTCACAGCCCCACCAATGGTGAGTAATTTCAAGCTGATGTTAAATTATTGCACGCATGTCTCAATTTTACCGCCCATGGATTTTTTCATGATTATGAGATTCAACATTATCTGAGTGTCCGACAACATTAATTACACATCATCATCACTGTGTGCTTGAGTCAAATTTTATGATGAGATATCACTTAAAGATTCCAACAGCCGAGCAGTTCTGCAATTTATTTTGCTGAGATTCAGTAAAACAATTGCCGAGACTCAGCTAACAAATAACATTTTCCTGAGATATCAGCTAACAAACATATATTTTGCAGAGATATCAGCAAAAGTAATTGCCGAGGTAATCGGCTGTTGGCGATTTTACCGAGCTAGATTAAGTGTGTATATTTATTATATTTTCAATTTGATGGATGGCTCAAATCTCTTCATAGATGGACAGTGGCGCCGGTGGTGTAGTGGTAAGCGTGACTACCTCTCATCCCAACAGGCCTGGGTTCAATCCCAGTCGGCGCCACCGGGATGTTCTGAGTCATAACATCTCTGATCACGCCTTCTTTCGGAAGGGAAGTAAAGCCGTTGGTCCCTGGTTCATGGGTTGATGGGCCGATAGGGTAGGGTCCAGGTGTGGGAGCTGCCTCCCTGGCGTGCGTAGCATTGGTGCTGAACCTCAGCACGGAAAACAAGATCGACGGAAAACAAATCAATGAAAAAAATTCATAGATGGATACATTCAGGCTGCTTTTAAATAATATTTTAAGGTATGCGTTTTTTTTTAGTTTATGGCGATAACATTTAATGATCCTTAGACATTTTTTCTTTATGTTTTAATGAACAGTTCATTCTAGTTTCAACTATTCTAGTTATTGTTGGAACTTAGTATAAATTAAGCTATCCAATTGTTTACCCATCGTTTATTAGGCTCCTTTAATTTTAGGGGGTTAGATGTGGAGAAAATAGTGTCAAAAAGATTAAAAATAAACTAAAATCATAAATTCGTCGCAATGACCACTTCGGCGATATTACGGTCTTCAGTGAAATAACGTTCAGCGAAATGACCTCTGGCTAGGACCCGACGTGGCCTGATATGATTTGTAAAATTTGCATCTATTTTGTCTACTCCTACTTGTACTGTAAGGCTGATGAAAAGCTTTATTTATAATCTCATTTGTTGCAATGCTTACGGTCGGTGGTGGTTAACACCAAATGCCAGCAAGCGACTGTATTCGCGCCTGTTTGAATTGAGCTCAACCAGTTACTTGGCCGAAGCTAATCGATATACACGAGGGGCAAATGCCGGATGGCATCGCATGTAACCTGAAACCCTTTCAAAAAGTTAGCACAGCGAAACCGTTTTCGCTTAGTTTGCAGTAAAAATGGTAAAGTATGGTTAAGTAAAATAAACAGTAAAGGTGAATAGCAAAGCATTTTCATGTTTCACTAAACTAATCCTCCCAATTAGCTTCTGCCGAGGTGTAGCCAGTGAAGTAAGGTTAGAATAGGAAAACATTTTTTCGCTAGATAGTTAGAATGCTATAGGAAATACCAGAAAGGGGTACAAAGAATTGAAAAGAAAACTGACCAGAATGGTTATAAATAGGATCGGAAACCTTTTTGTCTAAGTTTCTAGCATTCTGGCTCAATGATAGTGTTTGAATCTACAAGCCAATAGCCACAGACAATGATATGGAGTACGATAGGAAATGATTAGCTTTTCAATAAAAGTCCCATGGCGTTTTTAAAAATTTAAAAACATTCGTACATTGTGGTTTGCTTCATTAGAGCGCTTCATTTTCTGATGGAAAAAGCACAATTCTGCAATATGTGACCAAACGCACGCTGCTTTAAAAAAAAAAAAAAAACACGCGAGTCATAGTTGACAACCAATTAGGTTGTGTTAAACGTTTCGCTGACACACCAGGTAACCATCATAGTAGGCTTATAGTGCGGGTTTCTAGGTTGCTGTCTGTCGGTAAGGTTTGCCGCAAAAGACCAGACTGGTGAGCAAAACTGCTGTGATGGAAAAAGGCGGATTGTTAAGAAGCTTATCATCGAGAAATGGCTACCTTAACGTTTTACCTATTTTTCTTCTATAACGTATTTCAGAAGGGATAGAAAATTGCACACAAAATTTGAACCCCGTCTGGCTTCCCTCAAAAGCAGTTTTATTGTCAACAACAAACTACTTTTGCCGCATGTGTCGTTTCAGTTTCACTTCAGGTACAAACGTCGAGATCTGAAACGATACACAGCACGGCACAACCGTCGGGAAAGTGTGGAATTCGGTTCAACTGTGTGGTGAATTATTTGCAAGGTTAGTTCGTTTACTCTTTCTGAAGTGTCATCCATGTATGGCTTCGTAATCGGACAATTTTAGATGAAGTTGAAAAAATGCTACCTAGCTTAATTGTGTTGTACCTACACCTAAAGTGGTGCCATTCAAGGGGTGCTTGTCCGTCCTGATTCACCGTAACACGGACATTCACTGAGGGCACGCATTCGTTTCGTCATAACAATTATTAATGTGATTAACATTAATGTTAAAATACACTGATGTCTTCGGCATTTTATTATGCCCATGTTACATAATGATAATCGATAATAATCGATAATGAAAAGCGATAATCGATTGATCAATGATTCAAAATTTATAGCATAGCTGCATAAGCTCATTATTCATCGATTGTATGTTTTCTTTCCGTAGATAATTCAGGCTGTATATTGGAAAATCAATCCCCATCACTCACGCCGCCGCCATCGCACCAATCCAAGACACCTCCACCACATCCGGCATTTATGGGAAGTGGAGCAGGCGGTTTAAATGCTGGTAGACCAACCGGTGGAAGTGTCATGAACACACACGGATGTAGTACGCATAATGGGCTTGGTTCCGGCGGAAGCAGCCTCGGAGGCGGCAGTGGCAGCACCGGTGGCGATGATTGTGAATCCGATGATGACGGTCAGGAGATTATCGAGGAAGATGACGATGGCAGCGACAGGCCGTCGGATTCCGCTTCGCCCAATTCGAACAGTGCGATGCAGTCCAAGCGGAAAAAGAAAACCCGAACGGTCTTCTCGCGTGCGCAAGTGTTTCAATTGGAATCGACATTTGATATGAAAAGGTAAGATTTGATGCTATATTTGATAGGGTTAATATTACTCATATGGATGGTACGTTCCTGTTTTGGCACATGGGAGATTAGTAAAAATCGTTACGTCTATCGCAATGTAGTTTGTCCTATTGAAGGATTTTGTTAGCGGTCGACTTTATAATAAAATGGAGTGAAGATTTTATTTAGCTGTCGTTAAATGCACTCGCGATGAGTAGATAGACAGAAAATTTATGAAAATTCTGCAGGCCTGGGGTCAATAAATATATATGTATGTATGTAATCATGGAAAAACACATTTACTGGCCATCGTTACTAACATTTTAAAATGGTCTAAAATGTCGAAATTTCATAAATATTATTTTTTAAACTCGCATTAACTGGTAAACTGGAATTACATAAAAAGTTTATATGTGCGAATTTATTAAAAATAATTTCTTAAATAAAAATATATCATTATTTTACTTAAGCGGTGCCGGTGGTGTTATGGTAAGCGTGATTACCTCTCACCCCAGCAAGTCTGGGTTCAATCCCAGTGGGCGCCGCTGGGATGTTTTGTTGCATAACATCTCTGATCACGCCTTCCTTCGGAAGAGAAGTAAGCCGTAGGTCCCCGGTTCATAAGTTGATGAGTCGATAGGTAGGGTCCAGGTGTGGGAGCTGCCTCCCTGGCGTGGGTACCGACGGAAAACAAATCAAGGAAAAAAAAAATTATTTTACTTAGAAATATGCAATTCCGTTATATATCTAAAATCAATAAAATTTAAAAAATTATAGAATTTGTTTTTTGCCTGTACAACTACACACTTCACCAAATTTTATGGCATTACTGCAGCTATTTTAACAAAAATAAATTAAAACAATCGAAGGGGGTGTTCTTAGAAAGTCAACGTTTTATGTTTTTTTACTATGAGTTTTTTCTATCAGTGAATTTTTTTTTCTCAAAGGACATTTAATTAAATACAACGTCTTCGCATTTTTCAAAAGCTACTTAGAAAAAAAAAAACTTATTTGAAAGAAAAATGCAACCATTGGTAGCAGCGAACATATGAGTAATGTTTCATTCAAATCGGAAATACTCATGTCCAATCGGTTTGCTGGAAATGCTCTATAGATAGCTATGTATCCCTCCTACTTACTTTAAACCACATTTGAATGTTTAAGGTTTTTTGGATATGATTTTAAAGTAAAAATACGAACAGTGGTTAAATCGCATGATCGGATGCAACCTCTATTTTTACATTTGTTAAAATTACTAATGTATGTAGACATATGTACTATATATTAACTTTAACATATATTTACAGTGAAAGTTTGCTCAATGCAGTAAGAGATGAACTAGCCTCAGGCTAAAAATCTCTAAAATAAAGACAAAAAAAAAAAAAAAATGCTCAATGCAGTGGGCCAGGAATTAAATCTAACAGGAAAAAATATCAACGCTTTGGGATTGCATCCTTTTAAGTTGACATGTTCAGTAAAGTTTCTTGGATTAGTTAGGACTACAATTTGAATGAATTTTCACCTTTCACAGGCAACTTTGTACACTGGAGTCGCTTTTTACGCGGTTTTTTTTTACACGGTTTTTTTTCGTGGTTTTTTTTACGCGGATTTCGGAATTTACGCGGTTTTTTTTACGCGGATTCCGGAATTTACGCGGTTTTTTTTACGCGGATTTTGGTTTTTTTTACGCGGATTTCAGAATTGACGCGGTATATCGCTTTTTACGCGGTTTTTTTCTTACACGGTCTTTTTTTACGCGGTTTTTTTTACGCGGATTTCGGAATTTACGCGGTGTTTTTTTACGCGGATTCCGGAATTTACGCGGTTTTTTTTACGCGGTTTTTTTTACGCGGTTTTTTTTACGCGGTTTTTTTTACGCGGTTTTTTTTACGCGGGACGTATCACCCGCGTAAAAAGCGACTCCAGTGTATTTTTGTTGTTGCGGGTTACGCGATAGCCTGTTATTTGACAGTAACTATTGATGCAGTGCTTGCTCATTGTGTGAAGTTCGATCGCTTCTCTCGTTGCCTCGTTGGAAGCAAACAACTGTAGATGTCGGTGGAAATAAAATTGACTAGGGTAGAGCGCTACTTCGCCGTAATCGCCCATTTCCGTTCTATCGATCAGAAAAGATCAATAATATCAATGATTTCACCGTGCACAAATCAATAATAGGTTTGTTCCGATGCGTTAGTTCATTAGCTACAACATGGATCCTATTAGAGCGCATTGTATGAATATTTACGCTCATTGTTCTCAAAACAAAAGAAGCGCTCCTAGCGAATCCCCTTTTTCTACGTTTATTCATAGGGCGAAGATAATCTAATGGCGTTTCAATGTGGATTTGTAGGACGAATTTATAATCAAGAAGCAGCATTAGATTTTAAACCATATCTCGAAAATTTGCGACTCTTTATCAAATCCAACGGTACATATGGAAAGGTGAATAAATTTAGAACTCATCTTTGACAGAAATATTCCATTTTTTGTTCAGACCCATTCAAAAAAAAAAGGTAAAACGCGTGTTGTGCTTAGTAGGACGGAAATTAGATCAAAAACCCTATTAAACTCAGCTTCGTAGCTAGCTGAAAAAACCATCAATGGACGAAATTGCGACCTCTGTAAAAGTACTGTACGCGAACCATATTCAAATGATCGCTTCATACCGTATACCGTATTGTGCTTATTGCACAACCGTTAACAATTAGTTTTCCATTATTCCGATTTAAAATTAGTGCAGGTACACATGTCGTCCTTTGCGGGGCACCGTACAGTACTTGAGAATTTACGACCTACCACCTGAAGTCCCGGATACCTATCTTGCATTGGTGCTGGGGAAATACGGTGATATAAAGCGTGTAGCATGGGAGAATTTTCAAGCTGCCTTGGGTCTCAATATGCTGACAGGTGTACGGGGAATTTACATGGACATAAAAAGGAGATTCCCAACTTGCTGCATTTCCTCAAACCGAAGGGGCACATATTCTAACAAGCTTAGCTTAGCTTAGCTTAGTTAGCTTAGTCTGACTGCACGTATCGATAGTTGCACTCCGTGATTGATCTGAACCAGTGAAATTGTACAAAGAATCAACTGAATGGGGCTTGGTAGTAACCTGCCATTCTCAGTGTACATGTTCCAGTGACTCCTACCTTTAAAGATCAATAACGTCACCGGCCACGTCCTTGCAATCAGGTGGGAGAGGGAAGGAATGTTAGTGTGTGACTTTTGTTGTTTTGGGACCGTGTTTACCTCTGCATCCCACAAAAGTCACAGGAAGGAGGTTTTGTTAGTGGGTTAGGTTCGTTGGATCAGGATTCACCTTGATAAGTGATGCGATCTTTTGTTTTGTGTAGTTATTTATAAGTGTTTTCGATTTATGCTCTAAACAGCCGGCTGTCTAGAGATGTAGATCATTATTAGATGTGTGTATACCGATTTAAACCAACAATAAGGATACTGTTGGGGCCCCTCACAAAGTGTGATGATGGTTTATTTTATTTAATCAATGACCAAAATAATTAATTATAAGCGGTTTGAACCGATTTAAACCAACAGCAAGGATGCTGTTGGGGCCACTCACAAAGTGTGATGGTGGTTTACTTGATTGAATATAAAATAATTATTAGAACCGATTTGACCCGATTTAGACCAACGGCAAGGATACTGTTGGGGCCACTCACAAAGTGTGATGGTGGTTTGTTTAGTTCGGAAGAAAATGAATATGTATACTTCTTTTTTTTTTTATATAATAGAACGAATTTGTACTGATTCAAACCAAAAGCAAGGGTTCTATTGGGGCAACTCACAAAGTGCGATGGTGGTTTATACTATAAGGGCGTAAAACAAAATCAAGAGCCATTTCGGTTTCCATAGCTTCCTAGACACTCGGCCGCAAAATAATCTTATCCGACGGAAACGTCTCGATCATCGCTGCACAATGGTTTATTATAGCATTTATAAAGTAAATTTGAATACCTTATTGTTTATTTATTATCCATTTTGACTTGACTTGGTACCGTTCAGTTTTATGATGACAAAGTTGCCTGGAGAAAAGTGACAGTTCAAAATGTTTCGGAAGGGAGTCAGCTAGTGTCGTCCAAGTTCAAGTGCGGAAAAAATGCCATTTAAAGTGGTACAAACAATTGAAAGATGCGAAACATGCCTAACCGTAATTCTTTCTGGTTGGAAAGAAGCTGGAATCCTACACTGGCCGGAAAAAAAACGCGGTAGCGAAACTCTCTCAAGACGAGCTCTCCATGCCAAACCCAATGTGGGAACGTATCAATTGAGTGAAAAAAAAGAGAGTTCAAGACTCGCTTGGAGGCTGAAGCAGAATTGGAACAGATGTAGCCAGTTTCGGATACGGAGGCGAACGAAGGGAATAATCCACCACCGTCAAAGAAAGTTTGCCCCGAAGTCTACAAGTCCCCCAGTCGGAAGGGAAACACAATAAGAGACTTTAACGAAGTTTTCCTTATTCCTGGGCAGGAGGTTGACACCTGTGAAGCTGACTGTAAAATCCAGAATCAGATGAGATTATAATATATGCGACACAAATTCACTTTTTTATAGGGGAACATGTGATGTGAATAGAACCCACCATCAGTGCAAGGATTACATATGACTGCAGATACTTCACTGGTTGTAAAGTTCTGCCTGATGGTTTGTTGCAGCTGGGTGAATCAACTTCATTGAAGACCTTTGGAAGACAAACGACAAGATGTACGTCTATCAACACGTGACAAGGGACTGGCAAATCCACGAACACTTGTCCAGTCTACAAATCCATTGAAACCCTTAGGCTGCCCCCCCCCCCCCCTCCCCCAAACCCAACATATAATAATGTTTGATTGATGAAACGTATTCAAAAAAGGGATATTTAGAGAGAACAATCTTCAACTGGAACGTACTCACCAAATCAATACATCCGGGAGCGCATTCTCGATGCTTAATTTTCTCTAGTCATTTTTAAACAATTCCTCCTCCAGCGAATCCAAACACACAATAACTA